CAGAGAAATCCTAAATATAGAAATACCATCTGTGAAGAGCTCATTTCAGACATTATACTTACGGCAAGTAACCAGAGACAATGATAAACTTGTTTTGCTTCTGTATTCTAATATTAATATTACAAATAAAATAATAAACATGCAAGACACATCTACAGATGAATGCTTTAGTATTAAGCCAGTCTGTTAAAATAAATTATAAATATCATTTCTGTTTTCATACAAGTTAAGAAGAGACAGAGTTCATTTAACTATTTTTGGCTGGAAGGGTCATCAACATCCTCATTACAGAAGAGAGAAGAAATAAAACCATGTTTCACTAGAGTGGACAAATTGTCACTCTGATGTCTACATGAGGGAGAGATGGGAATTCAATTTATGATATCATTTTCAGACTGGAAGAAAATAAACTAAACATCCTTCACTAAGCATATGTAATGATACATCTAATGGCAAAGGGATAAAACCTAACAACAACAATAATTTGAAACTTTTGCAGTGAATTAGAGCTATAGGCCTGGGTAGTTTTGCAAGTATACATTATTTGACAGATACTGAAAATATTGGCTTCCCTTCTCACATAATAAATGTTGGTGAAGTGTATCTGTTCATGTGCTGTGCTTTGAAAATCAGATGCGCATGCCAAACAATATGCTCAAGAGCTACTGAACAATGTAATTTAACAAAAATAATGCTCTTTACAAAGCTATCTAGTAAGCCTCCAGAAAAGTCCTTCTGAAACTTTAAGGAAATAAATAAAGCTGAATAAAGTAACAGCTACACATGAATATTTTCATGAATTAAAATTAGTATTTCAAGAATGGTACCATTACTTCTTTTTTTTCCTCATTGATGGCTTGTAAACATGTCTATCCTATACTACGCTGCACATTGCAAAAATAGACATTCTAAACCATAGTAAACCCAGAATTACAGAAGACAGGCTCATCACACTTGGGATGAAAAGAGCCTTGCTGTGTTTACAGCTCTGTGCAGGAAGGATGAATATATTATAGATAGCGCGAGAGAAGACTTAAGTAAGAGGAGAGGAAAGACTAGCTTCTCAAAGCTTTTGCAAGCTTTTAATGTACATCTGTTTTTGCAAGGCAATATTGACCTCTCTTAAAGACTCTTAAGCCCACTGGAGAATGAGACGTGAAAGTTACAGAAAGAGTGGCTGCTGGGTGTGTGCAGTGGGTATTTCCCAAAGAGTTATTGGGTGTTTTTTTTCTTTACACTGGTCACAGGATTGGCATTGCCCTCAAAGATGGAGAGACTTCTTTGTACTGGACATTTCTGAGAAAAATATTTCTTATAGCAATTCTCAGTTCTGCTTGCCATGTGTTTTTTTACTACTGCAACTTTTTGAAAGTTATTTTCCCTCTTTTTATCTCAGGTTTTTACATTCCTTTGGGTTGTCATTTCTATAACCATATGCCAGAGAGGATGAGACAGCCAAAGCACATAAAATGGTTTTGTCAGGTGTTTTTCTTAAACAGTGAGATGTAATATATTTTGTATTGTATGTAGCTTTCAGGTTATGCTTCTGCTTGTCATCAGCACTTATACTCATCATCAAATGCTGTGCCCTGCCGGGTAACTACTGCTTTAACTGTTCCTTCTCCCTCTTATCTCCTGCAGAATTTGTAAGCATGTAGCTCCTGTTCTTATTCTACAGGCTATTTGGAGTGTATTTTCCATTCTATGCCTTTCTTTTTGACTTTCTATTTTTTAAAATGTGAATCCATTCCCATAGTACATGCCAATTTGTTTTTCTTCTTCTTCTATTTATTCATGCTGGCTGTTCTCCCATTTCAGCTGAATATCTAAACCATATTTCCCTTTGAAAAGCAACATGAAGGTCATTCTTTGATTCAGGCAAGAGCTACTTACTGTATGAATAACATTTTGTTGTTCCATCTAAAGTCATGAAAAGTGGACTCTCCAGAATTACAAACTTGATTAAGGAAAGGCAGTTACTGACCAGGTCTCCTTGTTTGAGCCTCAGAGACTGACACGTGTGCATGCTTAGTAGATCTGCTTCTCGGCTCCCCACCAGAGAAGTCTTCACGCTGATGCCTAGAAGTTCCTGAGTTCTTGGAATTGAAAATTCTGCAATTCTAAGATTGCAATTTGATTATTTTTTCATTCTTTCATTCCGTTTTCTAGAAAGGCAGAGAAAAGGAATCTCTGTTGTTTCTGTGGCATTTTCAAAGCTCCTTTAGATATTTAAAAAATGAAGCCTATGGAACCATGTCCCTGTGGTAGCTCACTTGCCCGGCTGTTTACTGCTATTTGTTTAATGAAATGTGTATCATTGCTTTACAAAACGATTAGTTTGAAGCCAGTAAAGCTCTCTTGAGATTCACATAGACTGTGCCTTTGGTGCTATGTAGCATTGTTTATGCATTTTCTTTGAGCTGATGGGTGTAATTTGCGATGGAAGGTACATAGCAATTGATGCAGCTGAACTCTTTTCTTGATTTCTCCTTCAGCATGAGCAAAGTTAAACTTTCAACAACTAGCTTTTTGTGGCCCCAGACAGGACACACCAAGGGTCTATAAAATGCAATTTACAAGTTGTAAGGATCAGTATTTCACTGTTAGGATAAGAATACACTAACAACTAATTCTTTGACCATGCCGAGTGTAAGTCAATAGTAAATCGATAGAAAAGGTTGAGTGAACTGTGGGGGCCTCTGCCCTCAACCTGTAGCCATTACGGTAATTTACATGAAACACGATGAACCAAACAACCTGATAATAACTGTTTTTAACTTAGCCTTTCTTGTGAACTTAGTTTTTGGGTTTGAGAATTTGAGGTATTATTCACATGCAAAAGAGGTAGTAGGTTAATTTCCACCTGTTGCCTCCCTCCTTGAAAAACAAAACTTATTCCAATTGTTTACTGGAGAAATCAAGAGGAAGAAACTGTTGACATAAGTTCTGTCAGTAATACTTAAAAATGTCTGCCTTCATCAGCTGTAAAATGACACGTATATTTTAAAACTTTAATCTTTCTTATCTGACAACATTAGAAAAAACTTTATCATGACCAATCAAATTTCATTTCAGCTGCTCGGTCTGTCTATGTTATGTGTTTAAAAAGTGAAGTCAGTGCTGCAAATGATAACTAAATTTGTGTGTATATAGCCCTTTACACCACATAGTGTTCTGGAAATTTAAATATATGCATTTGAGAAAGTTCTGTCACTGGGACAAGAATGTTAAACTATCAGTTTGCTGTTGCAAAAACCAGGAAATAGAAACAGAAAGAAAAAATATTTAATTGATGCTGTGTGTCATGAGTAATCTGTGAATGTCATCAGGTAGTTTTAAATCATTACTGTGAAACATGATGAAGGCATAAAAACTTTAATGAATGAAATGAATGAAATGAAATAAAAATGAATACATTGATTGTTGGGAGATACTTGGGACATCCTATGAAATCCTCATTCTGTTCCAGTCTAGCAACTGTCAGGCGATAGGATATTAGCACATTCTGCCTTTGGCTGGTTATCTACTTCAAGCTATCAATATCTCATATATATATATGTATATATATATATATATATATATATGTTTGTTATGTGAAAGATCACAGGTTTTAGTCCAGATACAGAAAACATCTCATTTTCTCCAGTTTAGGTTTAATTTGTGTATTATATGTGGTGTCATTTAGAATCGTTAAGGTGACAGGTGTGAGAATATAAGAATAAGTAAATGTGGCCAGCAAGACAGTGCTCACCTCAGAGCTGAAACTCAAAAATGCTGCAGGCAAATAAAATTCAGAACATAAAGCAATGTGTGTAGTAACATGTTAGTGAAAGAAAATGATTGGGATTCTTTACTGAACTACATGTGGTACACCCATTTATATGAGTTTCAGGGTAGATTAAAACTAAGATACTTTAAATATGCTTTTACCCTGAAACATGCTTCAGTTGTTTCAGTAATGTAATGAACTGCAGGAATTGTTGAAAATGTTAAGTTATACACATATGAACTAAATTAATATATTATTTGTCACTTTTCAGCTCACTGACAAATAACCAAGAAATCATTTATTCATCTGTTTTTTGTTATGTCATGGCCAGGGAAGAGAGGGAGGATTTTTGTACTCAAATTAGATTTTCTATATATGGGTATAAGTGACCACATGAAGCTAGGAGTGGAAGAATCAAGCCCCAAATTTTGGTTAGCTATTCCAACCAAGCCACAACCAGTTGCTGATTTAAACACTTAACAATTTTGTCGTACCCTCTGTTCCTAATTTTAAATCTCTTCAGACTGGACACCAGGCTTTCTTTTAGTTATAGACTGCCTTGCTTATCTTCCTTTTCAAACTCTGCTTTGACAACTGGGTTTTTTGGTATCAGTGCTGACACAAGCAATCCCATGCCCCCATACCATATTTTCTCTTGGTTTGTGGGGCCTTGCAATGGTCAAGGCTTAGCTGGAGAACTAATCCTGGTTAAAAATAACCCAGGCAGATAAAAAAGTGTTGAGTTTTAATGTAATTTGCTTCACAGTCTCTCAAGTAGCTGAGCTGACAGGTCTGAGGGACTTGTATGGGCACTGTGATGTATATACACTGTTGAAAGAATGTAGCCAAAAATAATTTTCATTAAGTAAGACCCAAACAGTTGAGTGGCTTCCTTAGAGTACTTAATTCTTTCCCCATTCACAACTATTTTCACAATCCTGGTGAATTTAATAATATTACAACTGCTTTACCTACAGCTGCTCTTGGCAGTCAGTAGGAGGTCAGGCCTGTTTGTTTGATATTGGTGACGTTAAATCATCTATGTAGTGACTGATAAATAAAGATATGAGTAAACTTGTTGGTAAATATATATAAGCAAACATGTTCTATAAATACACACTGAAGTCTAATTAAATGTTGGTTAAGCTTTTACAAACCCAGAACACAAAATCATATATCTGTTATTTATTGACGAATAAAATGGCAGGTTTTAGCCTTTTCTTTTTCCCAGGTGTAGAGCTGAATTCATTGCGCCAAATGAAGATACAGAGACCTATGACAATGCTCACAGATGTCCGACAGCTCATATCAAGTGGAGGAAGCGTGAATCAGAAGAATGATGAAGGAGTTACCCTGGTGAGTGGGAATATGTAATCATCATCCTGTGAATAGGGATAAATTGCAGCTGTGTACTGGTGAGCATGTTTGCAAGGCGATTCTCTAAGAAGTGGAATGCAAGATTTTGGTTCTCATCTGGCCTTTTGGAAATAGATATATGTCAATGCCATGCATAGAATAGATTTTAAAATAGGCTAGGGCAGCATCTCTGTCTTAATGACAACTTTCACTCTTAGCCACTGGATATGCAACACAGAAATTAATAGAGAAAAAAAATATTAGCACTGCAATTTAGAACTGCAGCAGATACTTGTGGTCTCTGACATTCTGTGTAAGTGAGGGCCTGAAACTTCACTCAGTGATTCCTGTTTTAGGCTCATATCTTCTGGATGAGCCAGGCTAAAACACTGTTTCATGAAGCTGTCCCATCTTGATTCAGTGTAATGAAGCATCCACCATATCAGTGGATAAGTATTCCTCCTTCTCCTTAATTTGCATGTTATTTGTAGTCACTGGGTCTCATTATACTTTCTGCTAATAGATCTTCTATCCCTTTGTTTTTTCAGGATTGCTACTTCTTCAGCTGCCAAATAATTTTAAAATTAATGCATTTTCCCCTAGATAGCAGTCTGTTCTCTTTGAATATAAAATCTTCAACATCATTATCAATCAGTAAATGGCTACCAGCAACATTAACATATTGAATAGCTTTTAAAAATTCTTTTGTGTTTTTCTGCAAATACTGTACTAAAAGAATTTGAAAGACAAAGATGTATTATTATCATAATTAATAATTATTTATTCCAGTATGTAGGTTGAATTACATTGCATGATACTGAATTAATACACTGAATTATTAGTGTTTAATTCCATACATTAATACCTGTGGAGTGTTCAAACTATAACTGAAAAAGTGAACAGCCTCATATCTGGGATTGTTGAATCCAGCCACTGGACACCCCAAGGCAGTTAACTGTAGTTAAAACCAGGAGAGAAGCAAGGGAGGAGTGAGAAGAAATAACTTTTACTTTATTTCATAAAAGCATTAATTTAACTTCCAGTTTTCTGATACATTGATGCTCAGGTGCTAAATGACAGTAAAATGCAAATTCTACTCTACTCTTACTGCTAATTTAGTCTGAACTGGCTTAGTTAAACTGAGTTATGAAGTTACCTAACTATCACTGTATAAAACCTTTTCTGTAGTTAGCTGGGTTAGTTGAAATGCATGTCTGAAATATGTTTAACATTATTATAAATGCTAGGAGAAGAGCGTTGTGGATAGATTGGTTTTTGTTGTTTGCCTAGTGGGATGTTGATAAAGGGGACCTTTTTGCACCAACAGTTTTTATGTTGAACTTTGATTTTCTGAACTTCTTTCACAGTCTTGCAACAAGTAGCCACAGAGTGTATCATTCTACTTTTGTCTGAGATTTCTATTATGTGAAACTTTTGTCTGACAAACTAGTGGGAAATCTGGAATTTGTTAAACTGCTCTGTCTGTATTCATTGTTGTGGAGTCAGCCAGTCTGTCATAGCTGTATGCATATCAAAAGGTTCTGGGAATACATTTTTGTTGCTCTACATCTATCTGTAGAGGGAAAACAACAAATATGTCAGCTGTAAGTATCTGTTTTCTCTGGATAGATTCGTTTTCTCTTGATAGATGTTAAGTCCATGTGTAAGTTAAGATGAATCAGGCAAAAAATTCATGACATAAATATATAAATGCACACGTTCTCACAGATTCATAGCACATATATATGTGCACAAGCAATACAGACACAGAATGATATATTACAAAATTAATTTTTCTGCCAAATTCTCCTGCAATATTTTTTTCTTTGAAAGATTTCAGTCACAAAATATTTCCTTTGTCCTGTGATCTTTTAACTACTTAGCACTTGTCAGATTGATGTCTGAATAGAAAATGTAATTTCTTCTTTTAAAACAGAAGAAAAGCTGAAGCTGTGTCAAATTATGGGAAAATTATGAGGGTTTTGTACATTTGAAAGCAGAGCATTTATAGTGTACAGATCTAGTGTTCTGCCCCCAGAGCAAGGGTATTCTGCCCCCTTTCCAGGGGAAGATTTTTGATGAGCTGTAATGTGTTTCATCCCTCTGCATCAAGCATGTTCACAGAGAAAACTTCATGTATACTCTTCAGGTGCAGCTGAACCAGAAATAACAAATAAGGCGAGTAATATCCTGGACTCTTGTTTTTGGTGTCTCCTGTGCTTTTAGTGATTTTGGAATTGCATGGTTCTAGTAACAGGTCTGTTGCAAGACCGTTTTCTTGCCATTAGCCATGTCAATCCTCAGAAAAATAGTCTCTTTGCTAACATTACTTCAAGGGAAAAACCCCCATGTAGTTAGGCTATGTGGTTTGGGGATACAGGTTGCCACCTATAATCTCAATTGTCCATTTCTGCAATTTTCCTGAGCCCTGTTCTTACTGACCGTCATGAGAAATGAATCCTTCTGATCGGGGATGAGCAAATATATTGTGCCAATTTCCAAATGCAAATTTTGTCCCCTTTGCTCTCAGAAGTAAAGGGAATTTTTGATATCACAGCAGAGAACCATGAGAAAATAAAGACCACTGAACTATAACCTGCATCAGTCTCATCATGTGAAGAATGTGCCTCAACAGAGTTATTCACCATACATAAGAAACATTTTCCACTAAAACACACAAATGACAAATTTTCCCTGGTATAGGGTTCTTTATTACATTTTCCTCTTTTACTTGATTATTACCAGAGTAAATAATTTGCATTGCCCCGCTATATATTTGTCTATGATCACTTTCTTTCTCTCTTCACAAGTCCTGTTTGGTATTGTATTGCTCCTATATTTATTTTACATACTTGCTATTTGTATTAATTAAATAGAAGATTTTATATTTTTTTTTAATTCATTTTATAAATACCATTTACAGTGGAATTGATTGCTGATATAAATGCCAACCACATGTAGAGCCTTGAATAGTAATATATTATAAAAGTTAATGTCCAGTTTCTGAAATAATCCATTAACAAAGATATTTTTGAGTGTCCTCTTTCCCCTTCTTGCCACTACAGTTTTCAGTACCTTGTCACTCATACTATATTTGCTACTCAGAATGACAAGCCACAAGCAAACACAGCTACCTTTGAAGTTGTCCCTGCTTTAGCAGCAACTTACACTACTTGACCTCTGAGGTTCCTGCTGTTCTGAGTTTCTGTCATTTTGGTACTTCATTTTCCACCCTCTCTCTGTTCCACTTTGACTCTGAAATGTAGTTTACTGATACAGAAAATCAACTACAATTATTAAAACAAATAGTACTTAAAATAATTAAGTATCTAGGAAAGCAATACAAGTAAAAGAAATAAAATCTCTGTGGTTCAAAATTGAGAAAATATTTTTTGGTACTGATTTCATGCTGCAAACTCAATGTGCTTGGTTTGATTATGTGTTAATGAATTAATTTTGGAGTAAAGTAGTATCAGGTTGCATCTGGGATATTTGAACTGCCACAAAAGAACGTTAGGTCTAGACCAAGCTTTGTTGAAATGTATGAATCTTAACTGGCTTCATGAAGTTTGTGAATGTGTTTGAAAGGATGTTTGCTTGAAATTGTATGAAAAGTATTTAGTGAATATCTAGTGATTGGTTCTCAACAAGCTAACATTCTTATCTTTTGGTGGGTTTTGTTTATCAATGCTATAAAAGGTTCTGCAGTGGTTTTCTAGTCTGTTGTTATCACATGTATTTTGTATTTGTCATTACTGTGATTTAGCCAGTTAGGTCTGTGGGGCAGCCAATAGCACGTCATGGGTTTTTCTGAGTTCTTTAAACTGTTAAGATACTTTTATATTGCAGCTGCACGTGGCCTGCGCTAATGGATACAAGAATGTTGCATCTTTGATACTGGATCATGGGGCTGATCTCAATGTAGTAGATAATCAGTACTGGACACCTCTACATTTAGCTGCGAAGTATGGACAGGTAAAGCTTGATTTTTTCACCTGCTTCTCTTTTCTTTCTGATAACCTTCTGTAGCAACAGGAAATCTTTCAGGTCAGGGAGACTATTCTGGTTTTAATGTGAAAAGCTTACACATTCCTGTACTATAGGTGGCATCTCAAATGGCAGAGATCATTTGAGAATAAACATTGTAAAGCTATCAACCCAATACAGCTCATTAAAATCAATCTACCATCAACAACAGTTTGTCTCCATCAAAAATTAAATTTGCACTGACATATGAAAGGGAGCCAAAATAAACACTTTTGTCTGTTATTTTCTTATGTTCTGATGTCAAACTTACTTTTTAGTTGACTTTTTTTTTTCAGTTGATATTTCTGTGAATAAATGTCCAGAATTCACTTAACACAGCAGTCACATTTAGTTTTCCAGTCACTGAGTTGTGGAATGGTGCTCTGTGTTTGGGATTTAGAGGCTATGCCTAAACATGACCTGTGCCTCTTAATATCCTACCTTTTCACTTTTCCTTCACCCTCACTCTCTCCAGACTTGCTCAGTGAGCCTCTGACCACTTTAGGAGAGCTTCCCACAGCTCCCACTGCCCCACCTCATGGCTCACAAATCACCTCTTACCCACAGGTACCTTCCAAAAACCTCTCTGATGCATCCTAGCTCAGCCTCCCATGTTCCTGCCCTTTCTCTTGTCAGGTCTTACTGCAGGTCCTGGAATATTCATCCTTTCTTGTCTTTGCCCTCCACCAGGACGGTCTGGCCCTGATCTGCCCAAGGAGCAGGACACAAGGTTGAGTGTTGCTGTGAATACAAATTGCTTTCTTCTGTTCAGATTCCTGCTGATGGCAGGGATCTCTTTCCTGATGCTGTGAATGTAGGTGTACTGAGTTAGTCAGAATATTCTATGAATTGTAGCTGTCAAGCCATTCCCCTACTTCTACGGTACTTTGCCATCTTGTAATGCTTATTTTTATTGACATCAACCATGCTTTTAAATACAACTCAGAATGGCAAACCATTGTTGATCCTAAACAGGACTTCCGTTTTCTTTTTTTATTTTCTAATAAATATGAATGAAAATCCTTACATACTAATGCTGGAGTATGAATGCCATAATTAGATCATCTTAATTCTGTTTCTGATCTCAGTGAAGACAGTGCCACTCATTTAGCTGAATCTCTAGTCAACAGTTGAGGAAAACTAGGATTTTTGTTCATGTCCATTTCTGGTATCTCAGTTGGGTTTTGGTACTCGTAAGTAAACCTGTGAATTACAAAATGAAAGTGCTGAGTTACAAGAAGTGGGATATTGCTGATTTCACTACACCCTTAGTGATCTGAATATGAGGCCAAGATTGCTTTTTTTGTGGGCTTTTCTTTTTTCAGGATTTTTTTTTTTTTTTTTTTGAGCTTTCACTGCAGGTAATCCACATGCTAAGATTTAAGGAGTAGATTCTAAGCATGCCAGAATCTCTAATGAAAAGCAAAAAAGACAGATATAGGTTGATGGATGTAATTCAAGTACTTATGCATATATGTTGTAATTCACCTGTCAGACTGTCTTTAGAAAATGGCTACATATACAATATATTTATAAGTTTGCAAAACCATTTAAGCATATAATTCAGTACTTATGTTATATATGCATTCATGTCATGTTGCTTATTGACATAAATGTATTTCCTTATAGCACATGTTCTTATTTTCATGGAATAAATGACTTCCAACCTCTTTTCAGACTTCAGAAAATAAATAATACACTTTACAGCAAGAAGATAGTTAAAACGTAGTAAAAATAATAATAAAAATAAATGTGTTTGAGACTAGTTAGTTCTGCTGGGATGTAGATTTCTCCTATTGAGATACTCTGTATCTGCTCTTTTACAGGGTATGAAAGCTCAGTATATTTCCATAATAGATTGTCAGTGGATTATATATGTATGGCATGCAGCGTACTCTCAATAATTTCGGGAAGGTTAAATTTACAGGGAAAATTTTTCTGCAAAAATACACTGAACCAAAGTTTTATTAGCAAGGGAGGCATCAGTGATATTTGGCACATCCTGTAGTTTCATTTTTCTCATCCCACCTTGTCCTGTGGTTTTCTGTAGTTCCACTGCCTTCACTGATCCCTCTGGATCCTCGTGTGGCACTGCAGGCAGGCATGTACTACCTGTGTTCAGACTTGAGCAGGGCAAGAAAATGAAGTAAGGTGATTGCAGTAATGTAATCTTAAACTGGAGATACTACTTACATTTCAGAATGGCTTGCAAGTTTGGGCTTTGTACTGCATTAATGTAGTTACACAATGACTGTAAGTCTCTGCTAGTGTGTGACCTAAACACTAGTTTTATTGACAAGGACTTGAAGGGACTGACTTGAAAGGACTAGGGAAGAACTTCTCTCTGCTTATACATGTGTAACATGTCTATGTTTGCAACACTAACCATGGGTGACTTGAAATACCTTTTTTGTCATGAAGTTAGGTATTTTCCTTTCTGAAACAGACCTGTACAGGTAAAGTTTGTAATTGAAAGTGGCTAATGGAAAAAATTAAACTGTTCTAAGAGATCAGAATGCTATTTTGTGAGATGATCCCTTTTGGGGCTCTTTTGTTGAACTGTGTCTCTCTTTATGTCCCAGATGATGATGGCAGTGACTTTTACTATTCCAGGAGTCTTCAGTGAGAAACCAGGGACCAATTGTGCTACTCACTGTACAAGCACTATGGGTAGATGTGAAGGAAGACAAATGAAGTATCATTCCACTCTTCTTCATTAAAATTAACAAAATACAGAGCAAATACCTTCCCTTTGTAGTGTTAATGAATAATACAATTTGAAGATTCCTTATAATCATTATAGATAATTTGCCATTCTTATTTAGGAGAAAAATACAGCTTTCGTATGGATTCTGTTTGTAAGAAACAACTAAATAATTCCAGTTCCTTTAAGGAGAGGGATTTATTAGGTATCAGCGAAAACATTTCATCCAGTAACTAAGCCATTGGGGTGTTTTTAAAATTTGCTTTCATATGATGATAATTTTGAAACAGCTTTAAGCCTTAGCATGGATTCTTGTGCATATCATATTTATAATTACATTTTGAGTAATTAATTATAGACAAATACAAGCATTGTTACTATTTGGGGAAAAAGTAGTATGGCAGAATGGGAATAATCTTAGTCAAGACATGATTTGGATAGTCTGTTTAAAATTAAAATATATTTATGAAGGAATAGGTTTTTTTAGGTTAAAGTATTAATGTTCCCTGAGAAAGAGATTAATATAAATTCTGGATTCCATCCCTTACATTTTCACCCTCTTGTAGCACATATTTGTGGCAGGTTTTTTTAAGAAGTCTCACTTGAAAAACTTGATACAGTGATAAATCTGTATGTTCTACTAGAAGACTGTAAAAAAAAAAATCTATTTGGTTTTGGTTTGATATTCTTTTCAATTCTTGAGAGGATTTCTTTCCTTCCAGGAATGTATCTGAACAGAAAATTAGCCTTTTCTTGTCTTGTAGCTTGTCTAATAAGCAATGATCCTTTAATGACTGGTCACAGAAGTTTCAAAAAAACCCTTTCTAAACCCTTGTTGTTTGGTAGTTTACTAACACTGTTGCTGCAATACATGCAGCCAAACCTCATCCAATGTATTATGAATTTTATATTCCATGAATCATAAGGACAGATAGTATTTCCTGGTTTTAACATTTTTCGTATCTTATGAAAAAAATTAAGTAGTGATATTCTTATGAAGAAACTGGTACATTGTTTTAGAGTGACATCCAGACTCAAAGACGTGAGCTCTATGTTTGCAAATACACAAAATACAAAAAAAAAGAAAAAAAAACAACATAATACACAAAATGAAAAAACCCAACCATATTTGGCTATTTGTAAGATTATAACAATAATAGAGACAGTACTAGTTTATTTACCTGGGGTAAAAAACAGAAGAATCTACTGAATTTTTAAATTTATAGTGAGAAAATCTAATTTGTATCTGTATAGGAGGAAATTTGTAAAGAATAAAGGTACTGCAAGCTTCTTGTTACAAATCTCAAATTGTAAATTTAATACACAATGTAAGTGGATTGCAAAAAGCCTATTGTTCCATCTTCCACAGTAAATTATATGAGAAATTATTGGAGCAAAGATACATTATCATGAGTGAGCTAAGCATGCAATAGACTTCACACCTACACATTGTAATCAAAATCTGGCTTGTAGAGATACCTCTATAATGGCAAAACCAGTTTTATTTGGGGCAGGATTCTTCTCAACCAAATTTACCCACCTACTACTTAAATCCAAAGTCATATCTTTGTGGTGTGTAATATGAAGAATCACCTCTAGAGTGCAGTTCAGCCATATCTAGGAGTTGCGTTTACAATAGGTGTGATCAATCATTACTTAGAGTTGTGACCTTCCCTGATTATAGAGGTCATGGGCAACTAGCATATGTCAGAGGTCTAACTTGAACTTTAAAATTTTACAGGAGGAATCCAGACCAAAGTGCAAAGCAGATGGGCCAGAGGATGGGTCAGTTGCTCACTGGATGTGCTGGGCCTCCCCAGTCATCATGAAGGGGACATGGAGTTGATGTCTTACTCTTAGCATAAAGCTTCAGAGAGTGAATCCTATAGAGGGAGTAGAGTTAAATACTTACAATGATACTGACCTCATGAAAAACAAAACATAGCTGCAGGTTGTTGCATTGTTTCCAAACAGGGAATAACTAGGTGTTTTGTTTTATCTGATGTTTAAAAAATCTGTACCTGTTTTTACATATACTTGTAACGAAAAGCAGTCTCATGGGTAAATTTACCATCTAAAATTTGCTAGAATGGTATTAGTCCAAATATTTTAAAAGAGCATAGATGAATGATAAATTAATATTCCTATTAGAACCAGAGTCTGTAGATCCAGAGTGGAACATCTTTCTTGCATAGGAGTACAGGATATTACTAGTGAGTTTGAGGGTTATGTACAGGATATGGCT